TTTAAATATAATTTATATTAAATAAAATGTTATATAGTCCAATCAAATAGTATTTCATATATCTATGGTATATTATAAAGTATTTAACAAAAATTCTTAAAAACTATTTTTTATGCACGAAGTACTGCTTTATAAAAATTATATTATCAAACGATAAATAAATTATTTCGTTATTAATTCTAAATTAAATTTTAATAAAAAAATGAATTAAAGAAATTACACAAAAAAAAGAAAAAAAATTAATAGTTAGTTCAATAATAATACATATTTTTTTCAACTTTTTATGATATCTTCATATTTATATTTTATTTAAAAATAAAAACATTATCACTTTCTCAAAATCACATAAAAACGTATTATAACATCCACGAAGACAAAAAAACATAAAAATCAAGATTTATTTCGCTGTATTGTGCGAGTACTTTTACAGTTTAATTATAACACAAATGAAAAATATGAACTTTTAGAACACATACAAATTATTCAAAATTCATAAAGTACAAATCAAAATTGAAACCAAAAGTGTAATGTAAGCATGAACGTTATGCGAGCGAGATTGAGGTGACGTTTACTAAACACTTATTGGATAAGCGTTTACCGATTTCACTTACCTTATCGATTAAGAATTTAAATAACTGAGAATTTTACCTGGTAAGAGACATAGCAAAGATCGAGAATCTTACCTAGTAAATAAGATAAAAGATTTTTACCTGACAAGTGCTTACCAGGTAAATGAGAATATTATATGATAAGGTAAATGAGAATGACGTCTATTGCTGATAACTTGTTGATAAACGGTCCAGAAAATAAGAAAATGAGCTAGAACAAATGGGCAAGACTCTCCTAAGTCCCATGGACTGGGCCTTCAACCTGGTCCTTGTAACTGGTCCAGAAAAAGCCCGGTATAGGTCCCTTTGGAGTTTGGATTTAACCGGTTGGGCTGACTCCTAACCGGTCCAGTTCAGTCCTTTCATAACCAGTTATGAAGTCGAACCAGATTTGGTTAAGTTGGAATGGTCCGGAGCAGTTATGTTTGCTCATCTCTAGTAATAAAGCAACTTACAGATAAGAAATCTGCATATTTAATTAGATTTTCGTCCTACCGAACAAATTTACAATCTAACAAAAAACCGCAGAAATGGAAAACAAAGAAGTTGCCAAATAGCGTCATGTTAAGCAACTTACAAACAACAAGGACTCAGAACCTGTTCTCACTTGCTCAGTGATGACTCGGCTTCCATTTCATCATATTCCTGAGCTTCAGAAATTTCATCACCTAAAGATTCTGCACCAGATTTCTCCGCGAATCGAATCCTATCCTCAAATGTTCTCTTGATCTCTTCTGCTCCCTCCAAATCACCCTTTCCTTTCAAGTATTCCACACATTCTCTAAAAGTATCTTTATCCAGTTTGCAGCCGCGCTTATCTGCAGCCTCCACACCCTTTTTCAGCATTTCCACCGCCTTCTCCATCTCATTCTTTCTTGTAAATGCAGTCGCGAACAAAACCCATGTGCTTGCTGGAGGTTGTTTCCCCTTATCTCTAACTTGGCCAACATATTCTTCAGCCTTTGCCAAAAGATCCTTCTTGCAGTAAGCATTAATCAGCAAGTTGGGTATTCTGAAGTCAAAAGACAAGTTTTCAGTTTCCCATTCGGTTAAGAGTTTCTCTGCACCATCAATGTCATCTAACTTCACTAATGCACGGATCATAGATAAATAACCACGGTTGTACACTTTACTCCATGAGGTTTTGTATACCTTCCATATACGATAAACATCCTCTTTTTTACCAAGAGTGGCATACATACCAAGAAGAATTTCCCAAATTGCCCCTTTTGAGTTCCCACGTATATGCTCCTCTGATTTTTTGAGCATTTCAAAAGCCTTATCTGGTTTGCCAGATTTGAGGTACCCACCGGAGGAAATGATGTAAGCATTTGAATCCACATTAAGGTCAGAACTTTCTTCCATTTTCTTAAGAACTCTTTCCATTCCTTCTAGGTCAGAAGCAGAAGCATAGGCACTTAATCTGATGTAGTATGTTGGTTTATTACAAGGAACACCCATCTCTATCATTTCCTGATAGATTTTGTCTAGTTTCTCATTATCTCCGATTTTCTTATATAAACTAAGCATAGAATTGTAAGAAAGTGTTGTCATCATCCCCATTTGCTTCATCTTCTCTGCAGTAGTCTCTGCTTTCTCTACTGATTTTGCGGTGGCATAACAATTTAGAAGAGCCCCATAAACATGGAGAGTCTTCACATCGTCTGGTGTGCTGTCAAAATACTTCTCTGCTTCTTCCAGCCCATGAACTTTTGATACCAAATCCAAATGAACTGCAACGCCCGCTGGTTGCAGATTGCTCTTTTTGTTAGCCATCCATTCTGAAAGCTGTCATCAGAATAAATAGGTGGCAACATTCAGGACATATTTGAAGTTCAAAAGTCTACATACTTGTACAATTGAAAATGATTCTATATGAGAACTGGGTCGAGCAACTCAGGACATCCTTCACGTTCAAATAAGAAGGTTAAATATCGTGAGAAGGCAAAAAGGGAAGATTCATATGTCAATCATTGAAAATATCTACTTGAAAATGCATATATGAACTGATATTACAGATTATTTATATGGGTTCACATATGTGTCCTTTAAATGGATTTTTTCAATGATTCACATATGAACCTTCCCTTAACCTTTCATTCTTACCTTCTCACTATATTTGGCGTTCTTATTTGAACCTCCCACCGGCCACCGTATATATACAAAGCTCTGATACGATTGAACTACAAACATAATAGTTGGTTGGATATGTACTTATACCTGTGTATTTGAATCGGGTTGAGCGAGCCTGAGCTGCTCAGCTAAATGCTCAAAATGTAAAAAAGGTAAGTAGGCTCAGGTTGGGGTTTGGTTTGGCTGGCCTAAAGCTCGAGCCTTGGCTTCGGCTCACATACAGTAAGTTCCAATCAGCCCATCATTGTTGCAACGTTTACTGGCTGGAAAAGCTAGGATCTTTCTACAGTTGATTAGGCCCCATTAAATGTCATTTTAACTGGTCTAGTCCCCACAAAATACATTACAATGAATGTTACATTTAGTATGAAATCCTACATAATACTCTGTCCGTCCCACAAATTGATTCCTTCGGGAAAAATAAGTGCAAATTACAAGTCTCGTTTAGTATAAAATAACTTGTTTCCTCTATTCCAGTTTCCAAATTGCAATATAAATCCCCAACATCGCCCCTGCTCAGGAATGCAAGATAATTATTCTAAATAATTAAAGTACAACAATTTCCATCTTTTTCTAGCTATATGTCACTACATACATAGATGATACACGTGGGATTACATCAATTTTAACTAAATGACTATTGTTTTATGATTGTTTCAACAAATTATTACCACCTATATCCCAATTATTCAACATTTGACTTCTTAAGTTTCAAAGGAGTTATATAAAGCTTTGATGATCCGGTAATATATAACCACATTTAAAAAAAAATAACAAACTAAACAAGTTAAGCCAGATTTGAATTAGAACGTAATAGGCTTGAATCTCAACTACTTTTAGGATGAAGTAAAGAGATTCTTAGTCCTAAATAATGTGAATCGATGGGAGTCCATTCATAACATTTGTGAATTTACAATAACACGGACCTGGAGAGCGTGGGTGTAGCGATTGAACTTCCGAAGACTTTTTATTATGACAATGAGCCGTTGGAAACTGACGAATTTACCTTCACTTTGCCATTGATCGAGTATGGGTATCACCGAAACGTTAGGATCCCCTACGGGTGAAATCCTCCTGTACAGACTGTCATTCTTCTGAGAAATTTGTTTTCGCTCGATGACGCTTGGTTCTGTGGAGAAAAACACAGCCCTGGAAATGGAAATGTAACTTTTTGATGATTTATAGGATCGAAGGAACGCCATTATCATGTACAGAGAGAAATTGATTTGAAAGAGAAGGGAGAGGAAATGAAAAATTGGGGATTTACATCGATTTAGGGTTATAGAAATTAGGGTTTAAGGTTTTACGCTCTCAGTAAAATTTTCAACGTGAACCTTTATTATTGGATACTTTTACATGTTAACCCCTAAAGTATTTTAATTATTAAACTTGATCCCTTTACTCTTTTAGGAATCACACATAACCACTCTACTTTAGTTTATTGAACATCTGCCCCCTTTTGATGGGAGTCGATAAAAAAAACCCGAAAACCATGAAACCAAGCCGCACCACATCAAAATCGATGGTATGAATACTCGATTGTCGTCATTTTCAGTCAATTTGTAATCAATTATATGGTTTTTCATTTTTATGTTATTGTTTGAAACTAACATATTAACTTGTATATTTACTAATTTCAAGATATATATTCAACGAATTTCAATAGAAAAAACATGATAATTAAATGTAAAATATTTATATATGTCATGTTTAGTTTTTACTTAAAAAGTCATGGTATTGTTAAAAACTAAATATTCTTTTTTATATATCTGGTTTAATGGAGAACATATGAAGGTACCACCACCATTGTCTCGTAGAGTTCCTCATTGAATACCATTTGTGCTTTAAATAATGTGACATCAGCTAAAATCATATAACTGACAATTATATTAAAAAAATCAAAACAAATGAATTAAAATACAAATACAATATAAGATAAATCCACTTTAAAAAAATTACAGTGTATAAAGTCAATCAAATGAAAAGTTACAGGCCACAACTAATGTGGTAATCTATAGAGCTTCTCTTGGTATAACATAAACAAAAGAAAAATAACCAAAGGAAGTTTTTGGAGGGTATTTTTTAAACAAGGAAAGTCAAAGTCAATATATAAACCAAATTAAACATACCTAATATATCTTACTCAAGAAAATCACCACAATGCAATAAAACAACACCATATATATGCATAAGTATATCACTTGTACTAATTATAAGACTGCCGTCAATATCTTCAGTGATTAATTTATGCCAGGACTAGGACCAGAAGGGGGCACGACATTGTCCTTGGGTAGCATTGCCGCAAGAGTCAAGCTTAACGAGTTTGGGTTTCCAAATCGGCAAGTGATGCCGCCATCTCTCGCTTGATCAATAGGTATCGGTCGAGCTACAAGTGGATTGATGAGAAAGCTCGTCATGATCATGATCATGAAGATGAACATTAACTTTGATGTGAGATTCATCTTGAACATTTAACAATTAATATCTACTAATTTGTAAGTGAAATCGATGACGACTTTCTAAGATCTTCAAACGACTTTTATCTTTGTTGTCTTGTGGGTGAGCAACGAAATGCTTTTATAGAGGAATATGGTTGAAAGTTGACTTAGAGGCCCACGAAAAGGATGCCGGCTTATGAACTGGGATTTGGTAATGAACAATCATATTTAATATGATATCTTAGAGGTTATGTTTCTAAGGAAAAATGTCATTTTCACATATTCTTTATCTCATAGCCATTTATATTCATTTATTTGATTAGTATTAAACGTCAAAATCGATTCTAAGCCTTGCAAGCAAGTAGTTAGACCCAGCCCAAGGTTCGACACAAATACACCATGGTCTAATTAAACCGTTCAACATAAACAATAAAAGTACATGATGTCGTAAACAAATAAACGATCATGTTTATCGAGTTTAAAATTGTGTGACTGGATATGCTGCCGGCAAATTGAACGGCCAATTATCTTCATCAGCCGGCCGGCAAACCGGAAAAATTCTCCAACAGTTGACACTTGAAATTGATGACACATTTGACCCCTATGTAGCCGAATTGCAAACCACCAACTTTATTCCAGTCAATGAGATAATGGATAACATCCCCTTTACCATGTATCTATCATCCAAGTGTCATAGTGTTACAAGACTTTGCATTTTAAAGTCAAAATTGCCCTTTGGAAAATAAGTTCTAATTATTGTATTTTTGAATTAATTTTTTTACTTGTAAAAATAAAATTGTGTTTGAATAATTATTTTAAAGTAGTTTTGTTTAATAATTTGAGTTATACATTAACATGATTCAATGTTTGTTTAATTAACTCGTTTATTGGCTTGTAATTAATGTTTTTATAGATTCATTATTTATTTATGAACATATAAATATATTTGTCTTGAAAAAAGTACGCTCGAATGACTCGATTCGTAAAATTTAATCGAGTTTTTAAACGAGGCAAGTTGAACATTGGCGTTATGGAGCTCAAGTAGATTCTTAGTTGCTCATTCATTAAGGCTCTTTAATTGTAATATATTTTTACAGTGGAGAGGGGTTTAACTAGCTTCTACCTCAATATGATGTGTGTTACGTGACAATACAAAATTTAATGATTCATATAAAAGTTCCGTAGTATATACAATACGAAAAGGTAGAAATACACCTAACATAATTGAATTCAAATACATAACAAAGTTTAATCAAACATTTAAAACAACAAAAATACTCATAAAACAAACAACCTAAGGATGATACATTAAATTATTTATTTAATATAATTTACAAAGGATAATTGGTGTAATTAGTTAATGATGTGACATATTATAATTTTGTTATGTTATTTTACCTAAATGAAATAATGAGTAATAATGATTGTCTTTCGTTTATTTTTGTTCGTTCATTTACGTTCGTTCGTTCTTTTATATTCCAATGTTGCGGACGACAACAAACCACCGCTTTTATCCACAAATGATCGTGATAGTGAAGTTGACTTCTCTCTTTGAAAGAGCCTGCACAGGATATTAAATCGAGTTCGACCCTCATACTACCGTTCAATATTAATTCATCTAAATCTTAATGAACGAATACGAACAAACATATTTTTAACAAACGAATATGAACAAAAAGAAATTCAATCATTTGTGTTTGATCATTTGTTCGGTTGAGTTAGACAAACGAACACAAACAAAGTTTTATTCATGTTCGTTCGGTTTATTTATAATAGATAAATTGTGATTTATCAAAGTTGAAATCGATTTCCATGTTGATTAACACTATTATTTACTTAGCGGGTAAGATTTTAGTCCACAAAAACGACATGGTATGCAACAATTTACCCAGTAAACGCGTACCATAGTAAGAGTCATCTCTCTCACTTATCGGGTAAGACTTTTGGTTCTTGTCCCTCTCTTACTGGGTATGATTCTTGATCCCTACCATCTTCATCCAGTGAGGTAATATTATTTGGTAAGCGGTTATCCATGTAAGAGTTTAGTAAACGGACACTAACTCTAATTAAAAAATTTAGTTAACCTAAATATATTTGGTACTTGTCTTTTTTGCCTTTTTTGATTTAAATGTACGAATATTAATATATTTTATAAATTCATATAAAATAATCATTAATTTAAAGATCATTTCATTTTCTTTTTCTTCTCTATACACTTATCCGATAATTACTTACCGGTAAAATTTAACATTATTGTTTACTTACCGGGTAAGATTTTTGTCTACCAAAAGAACACTGAATGCAACAATTTATCCGATAAGCGCTTACCATGGTAAGAGTCATCGCCCTCACTTACCGGGTAAGACTTATAATCCTTGTCCCGCTCTTATCGAGTAAATTTCTTGGTCCTTCCATATTCACCCGATAAGAAATGTGATTTGGTAAGCGCTTATCCGAGTAAGCGTTTGGTAAACGGCCCCTAGACTCTTGATGTAATCAAAATTCCATTTTCTGTGTTTATTCAAGTGGATTTTAGTTTAAAGTGAATTCGATGAGATTCAAAATTTGATTAGTAGATCCACACACGAACAGGGATAGAGATAGAAAAGCAGATTTTTCTAAATCGCAAAACTCATCATAACCACATCTGTAAATGAATTTATACAATCCCAAAATCAAAACATACAAACCCCAAAGTCTCAAATCACGACCAACAAATGAATCAAAACAAAATTAATCATCATTAACAAACCAATCGAGAATATATATATATATATATATATATATATATATCTCACTTGCGAAGATGCTTGACCTTGTGCCATCCTTTCTTACAGGAATCACCAACGATCTTGGCACCCTGTTTGAAGATCCTCTTAAGCTCCTCAGCTCTGTCCTTCACTTGATTCTCGAAACTACCCATCTGATTTTAGTGATTAGTTTGAATTCAAAATCGAATAGAAAGAAAGCGACAGAGAGATGAATCAATATGATTTCGGTTGGAGAGATTTAAATAGAAACAGAAAGGGGAATCGGGGCCAGCTTGTTGCAAACCTGTTATTCCAATCTTCAACTTTTGAGCTGTAAAAGGAAGGAGAGCGAGGAGAAGCGTGGGATCCAATTTGTTGGTGGGGATGTGAGCCTTGCCATCCACCATTTATCAACAATCTATGGATGAAATTACAAAAATAGTCCTTGTGGTTTTCAAAATTCTGCTTTCTGTACGATAGATAATTAATTATATCAGTATCCATATTGTTTTGTATCTTATTACGGGCTTTCGTCTTTGACCCTAACATCCGCTAACAACCGACGTTAAGTGGCGACTTGGCATGGCTTGACCCTATGTCAGAGGTATTCAATCGTATACTCGTATTGTTCTTTTCATTTATAATCTTTTTGGAAAGCGTTTAAAAACTCACTCAATCTTTTTTTCCTTCTTTCCTATCATCTTCCTCAACTTGTGACAGTAACTCCTCGAGTACTTCAATTCCTCCGGTGGAATATATTGAGAAAGAAGTGAAATTTCATTTGGTTAAGAAGTGCAATTCCACATATATAGCTTTTTTTTTAATGATAGTTGAAAGAGGATCAATATCATAGAGTGAGATGATCGAAGCAGTAAGAGCCAACACTAATGAGTAGGAGCAGTAGTGATGAGAGAGGTTCTCTTGGGTGTTACGGAGGGATGATGGTTTGGTGGTTGAAGGTGAAAGGGATTGTCGATGAAGGGGAAGGGGTTCAATTTAGGTTTTCTTTTCAAGTGTTTCAACGACTTGCACATATACTTTAAGAACTTGTACATTATTTCTATTAATGAATGAGAAGGTAAAAACCAAAATACCTCTCACATAGCAGATGAGAGCACTTGACGACAGTAGCTAGTGAATGTTAAGGTCTGAAATGAAAACCATAACGAAGTACAAGCCATAAGGTTAATGGTGTAATTTTTTTGAAAAAAAAGTTATTCGTATAATTATTGAACTCGAAGAACAAAACTAGAGATTTTCCAAACCATATGGATGATTTTTGTAATTTACTCTTCCAATTATTTAATTTAAATTTAAAAAAATGTACAAACAAATTGTTAAGTTTGACAATAACATTAATTAAATAATTGATTAATAGGGACTACATTTCTAGTTTATTGTCGCTCTCTTTCTCCTTACAAAACATACCATACATTTTGCTTTATGTGGTTCCAAAAATAAACTTTCCAAGTATTTTTATTTTATTTTAATTTGATATATAATGAAAACAATGATATTTATATATAGGTTTTTAAAGAAAATTCGGCTTGATAATAATATTTATATATGTGTATTTGATGTGGTAACTTGTAAGGACGGTTTGGTTTATGGTTATATCAAAAATTTTACGTGTAGTCACCACCCTCTGCTCAATACGTACATGGTAATCCAAAGATTAATATAAGCCTAGATGATAAATCAGTTTGGTGAGAAATGGACATAATGAGGTATAGGGATGATGGTTACACTGATGTTAGAGGTTTAAGAGAAGAAGTGGAGGAAAGAGGTGAGGGAGCTGGAGAACATAACCATCAATGGGGGTGAGCAGCGTTTTAGTCATTGAGATTTGCTGATAAATCAAGGTTTTAAGCTGGAGAATGTACTGATTGTGTGTGTATATATATAAATACATTATTACATTGATAATGTATATTAAATAATTTTTTAAAAGAAATGGATGGAAAAGGTCTAAAATGTCTCTCGTCTGGCCAATTTTTTTTACTGTTGTTAGAGGCAAGGACTAAATCCGAACGCTTTCTCTAAACATAAAAATCATTTTGTATTTTTGAAACTGTTGGGAAGATAAATATTACAACCTACAAACCACATGGACCAAATTTGTAATTTACCCCAATAATTTCATTACTTTTGCTCAAACAAAAAGTATACAAGACGAGCCCCACAAACGCATAAACCAACAAATCCCTATTCTATGGGTAACGGTCGTCCAAACTCCAAAGTAATATTCATAAAAACGGAATATTGGATCCCTAACTTGGGCATATGTTCTCCAATTTCCCTTATTTGTAAGGGAAATTAGGGGCGTTTACCAAACGCTTGCTCGGATAAATGAACACCAAGTCACATTACTTTATTGGATGAATATGGTAAGGATCAAGAATCTTACCCGGTAAGAGCAAGACAAGGACCAAGAGTCTTACACGGTAAGTGAGGGCGACGACACTTACCGGATAAATTATTGCATACGATACCGTTTTGATGGACTAAAATCTTACCCGGTAACTAAATGATAATGTTAAACTTTACAGGTAAGTGTTTAGTAAATGACCTCTTAGTAAATTGATTTTGGTTAATAATTTTTTATTTTATTTTTCTAAAATTCTATTCTAAGTCTTCAAATTTCTTATAAACTATGTACCGATCCAACTACTAAACCTTACTAAAAAAATGTCTATTAGGAACATTAACGTTTGTTTTCATTATTCCCTTCGAATCTTTGGAATTAGACCCCACTCACCAATAAGCATTATTAAGATGCCGATCGAGTATATAAAAGCCTCATGTGTACAAGTACTGAGATCAAAGGAGATAACTGGCTAGGATTGCGTAGAAAAACATGGTTATAACAGGAAAGGTAGTTCGTGAAGTGGATATCAATTGTGGTGGCAACTTCCTCCACCAATTCTTCAGCCACAAACCACACGAAATGGCCATCATTGCCCCTGATACGGTTCACCGTGTCGATCTTGTTTCTGGGCGATGGGGTGCTCCTGGATCTGTCATTTCTTGCCACTTCATCCATGGTAAAACTATCATATGTAATTATACTCCATTGGTTAGTTGATGCATCTTTAAAGAAGTGACTGTTGTTTGGAGTATTCTATGATTGTGTTTCAAGAGTCTATTTGATCAAAGTTATTTGGTTTGGATCATTAATTTTTCATCTGTTCTTCGTCTTTTTTACATTCTTAAACTTCTTGTTATCCTCAATTGAAACTGTTGCGGTAAGAATGAAGTTTTTGGTGAGAAAATAACATACATCTACCTATTTTCGTCAACATAACTGAAAACTTTAACGAATTCATGCGTGTCAAAGTGATAGAGTGAATATAGAAGTTCATGAAAATTAAGGTTGATGAAAGTAGATAGAGGTAAAAGAAAGTTTGTGTTTTTTTGTCGGCTATCAATTTGAAGGTAGTTGAAGGTCCGTGTTTTTTAGTCGTTAAATCAAAATTTCAACTTATTAAAAGGCTTGTTCTCACACGATCCCAAGTTTATATACACACATACTTGGGATCGTATAAGAATACAATTAGAGTGAGAATGATGAGAACAATTTGAAGGTAGTTGAAGGTCCGTGTTTTTTAGCCGTTAAATCAAAAATCAACCAATTAAAAGGCTTATTCTCACATGATTCCAAGTCGATATATATACACATACTTGGATTGTATAAGAATAACAATTATGGTGAGAATGATGAGAACACTTATAAGCCTTTATATGAGTTGAATTTTTTTAGTTTTCTTCATATATCTTTAACTGCATTCATTTACCTTCAATTATCTTCAACTGTTTTCTTTTACATGTATCTTCATTTTTGGTTACTTCCACTAACTTTTACATACATTTAATCACTTTCACATAAATGATTTTACATACATACGTACATACATACATACTTACATACATACATACATACGTACGTACATACATACATACATACATACATACATACATACATACATACATACATACATACATCTTAGTATTTATTGTTCAATAGGAGCGAAAAAGCTAAGTGAAAATTTGAACTCACTAAATATATTGCAAGCCCTTGTCGAACTTTTCTTATATTATGGATGATCAGTCAATATAGTCTATAATTACATGCAGCCTACGGTTTTTGTGTGCGTGCAGATGAAAAAATAAATAGTGTAAAAGACTTTATCAAAGTAGATGATGAGAAAATTGTGTTCAAGGTGATTGAAGGAGATGTATTGCAGGTGTATAATGCGTTAAGCTTTAGTATTCATATGGAAGAGGCTGAAGATAAGCAGTCGGGTGTTTGGAGTGTGAATTTTGAGAAGGCGAATGCAAGTATACCTGATCCAACTCCATATCTAGACTTGCTTTGTGGTTTCACCAAAGATATGAATGCTTATATCCTTAAGCAGGCAAATGCATGATCGTAATACTCTAATAATGATAAAAGGAAAGTGTTTGTACCTAACATAACATGAACATGGTTAATGAGAAGGTTTTCCAAAAGCGGTATATATACAAGGGATACCGAACCTACATATACATTAACTTTCACATAAAAAAGCTCCAAGTTTGTACCTAACATAACATGAAAATACCGAACATGCACATACGTTCAAAAAATAAATTAAAACTACAAATTTGGTCTCTGTGGTTTGTCAAAAATAACACTTTCCATCTCATGTAGTTCCGAAATTACAAGATGGCCATTGTAATTTATAAAAAGTCTGAATTTATTCCCTTCCTCTAACGGTTATTAAAAAAATTTGTCAAATGTGCAACATTTTCATCCTCTCATCGATTTTTTGCCTTTTACCAGATCAAAATCAACTATATGATTTTGGTTCTTGTGATTTTTAATTGGAAAAAAGACAAAAAAATGTTAAAAGGACTATGATGCCTCTCATTTAACGGATTTATTTTTTAGTTATTAGAGAGAGGAACCAAACCTGAACGTTTTTGCAAACCACAATGGCCATCTTGTAATGTCGAAACTCTAGGGAAGAAAAATGTTAATTTTTGACAAACTACATGGACCAATATTGTAGTTTACTCAAAAAAGTATTTTGTTCTTGGTTTGTGATTTTTATTTTATTTAATATATTAATTTAATTTATATTATATTAATTATTTTGTGATATCACTAACAAAAAAAATTCAATCCACGTCTGACAATCGTATGATCGATTTTAATATGACGTTGGCCAAATGGTTGGCATTTGTAAGGATGTTAGGTCTTGCGGCCTATCACGAGCTTTCTGTACATATCTTATCGTAACTATCAACAAGTTAAAAGTTGTTCTCATTTAAAATAAGATTCATTTTCAGTTCGTTTTCATAACGAATTTAGCAACTCTTGAATACATCTACATCATAATTAGTAATCGTGAATCTGAAATGGGAAATTTGAGATCCTATAACTCATGATGAAATAAAATGAAAAAAACCCAATGTTGTATTATCGGAAAATTAAAACTACCCTAAATATTTGGATACTTCTGTTTCAAAGAAATACTAGAAACAAAGATAAGTCGAGCCCTAAAACGCGCAAGATGATCGGACATAGCCTAAATCCATGTGGAAGAGATGGGAGATAAGCAATTGTGTGTTTGGAGTGTGGATTTCTATAGAAAATGATCGTGTAATTAAAAATCTCCCGTAAATAAAGGTGTACTATTTATTTGAGTTAATAATGTGTGATTTAAGATCACTTCTATACATTATATAACTTCAGTTTATCATTATAGTGCATCTTTAGGATTAATTGATTTCTTTGGAAATTAAGGAGCCCAATCTGGTGGAAAAGAGCCACAGTGTGAAGCAGCCACTTCCAAATTTTCTGTCTCGTTTTCACTATATTGAGCTTTACATTGTCATGAATAATGAAATTGTGGTCTTTCCAAACTTCCCATAGGATAAATAAAGCAACATAATTGCGTAAAAAAGAATACTGGGAGCAAATAGTATCAGTCYACCAAGACTCAAGACGCTGCTCGAGAGACTGAGCTTGGGATATTGAGATGTTAAGATGAGACGCGAAGAAGGACCAAAGGGATGCAGCCAGCTCTCCTTGAACAAAGAGATTCGATATGGATTTACTATGAGGGCTGGAACAGCAAAGACAACAAGAGGGAAACCGAAAACCCAAAGACTTGATACACTCATCAATGGATATTGCCTTATGCACAAGTCATCAAACAAAACCTGTAATGTTTGGGTGTACCCATTTATTCCAAACATATTTCCACGAGTAGACAGAAGGATGAGAAACCCACGTCGAATCCTTAAGAAAGAACCAGTTGATGCACCATATATAAATAAATAAATAAAATCTGTTTATAAATCCCAATTTTATAAATATATAATACGTATTCATAGCAAATGAAGTGACACATTATCCTCACTTTTGGTAAAATCTAAACCTTTGATTTTCGGAGAGACTAACATTGTGTTCTCCAATTTGGGAAAAGAAAAGAAAAGATAAAGACTGAAAATAATTTTTTTATTTATTTTCATGAGGAGAAATGGAAAGAGTATAATCTTTTTTATGTTTTTGCACGGGATGAAAAGGAAATGAAATAGATTATTTATTATAAATTTAACCTTGACTACTTATTTTACGAGTTATAATTAATAAATAGATGTGTAATTTTATAAAAATAATTATTTATTTCTTTACTTACCATTTCCTCTCAAAGAAAATATTTCTTTTCCTTTTTATTTTCCTTTAATTTCCCTCGTAAAATAACTCTTAGAACATGATATTTATTCTTTTCCCCTATTTTTCTTACCTTTTCTTCATTTTCCAGTGTAAAAATGATTCAAAAACACAACATAAGTATTATCGGTAACACCAATACCACCATCAATCATGTAAAGACGAATATTTATTTTGATGGATGGGAAGGAAAATGGGATTTAAAGACTGGTAGTTTTGATTCGTTAAATATACCATTTGCTTGTGAGGATATGACTTCAATGCTTGTCTCCATTGATAAAGCAATTGTGATATGGTAGCATCTTAATTGAGATAACATTTTATGAAACATAATCGATTTAGTCTGTGAAATAGACTTTGCTTCACATCCGACATACACTAATCATCAATAGCTTATATATATATATATATATATATATATAGCATCCTAATAATTTCTACTATTGAAAAATTAAAAAAACCCTAACATAATAAATTAGTTACTTTTGTTCAAAAGATACCAGAAATGACGGTAAGTGTATCCCCACAAATATACCAAAAGGATAAACCCCTAGTTTATTCCATGGGGATGTGGGTTGAGAGATGCACTATGAAAACAACCATGGTTCATTATCAGGAACAACCCTATAAATCGTCATCGTAGGACCATCATTCCACCATCGTTTGACCATCGGTATATTTATAATTCATCAAGCCTCAATTGCTCTATTCCACTATCGAAAACCGTCACATAGTAAGAGCATCTCCAATGTAAGGTTATTACAAGTAAAAAGTGCAGGTTCTTATCGTTGGAGAGAGTTTTTAAACAAACCTCACATCCTTTGAGTTCTTGTACCTTGAACTTGAACTAAATATATGCATGGAACACACAAAATGGGTTCTTTATAATACTATCATGGTGAAGTTTTATGTAGGTTCTTAATTTGATGAAGTGAAAATGATGTGGTAAGTAAAAGTACAAAAAACGGGTTTTTATAAGACCTCTGTTGAAAATGCTCTAGGAGTTGGGCCACATGAAACTCTTGTTCAATCATCATTCAGAAAGGCTAGAATCTTAACTAAACACTATAACTTCTATAAAACAGGTAAAAGACAAACAAAATGATAGAATATATAGTTTTGCTCATATTATTCACAACTTGTGTTGTGTAGAACATGTACAAGACAAACATAATTTGACATCTTTTGGGTTTTTTTTTACATAATTGCCTTTTGGATTCTAACAGTTTCTATGTAACTAAACGAACAAATAACATTTTTGTGGGGAAACCTTATCTAACCATCCAAATAAGTCCACAACAGGGGCAAAAAGGGATCTGAACAAGAATGGACAACCGTAACCCTTCATCAGGAACTCGTATCACCATCCATAAAACAATTCTTCAGAAGAGGATGCGGTGGCGGAGAGAGGAGGCCCGGTGGCAGATGAGATTCTTGGCGGAGGAGGGTCGATTTTAGACTTGGCTATTCATGAAACCCAATTACCAGAGTCCAAATTAATAAAAGTCATATTTTTCATAGAATGGAATATTGGATCCCATTTTTGCAATTTACTTGGGCACATATTCTCAAAATTCCGTGGAAATTAGTAAAGTTGATTTTTGTTAACAATTTCTATTTTGTTTTTATTAAATAGCATTCCAAATCTTCAAATATTTTATAAAACTATGTATCCAAGTTCAAAGCTTACTAAAGACAAAATTTATTAGATATATTAATGTTTTTCGGTATTCTCTTCAAATCTTTTGAATTAGACACCACTCACCAATAGGCATAGTTAAGATGCCGATCGAGTCTATAAAGGCCTCAAGTGTGCAAGTAATAAGATCAAAGAAGAGAATTGACTAGAATTGCGTAAGAGAAAAATATGGGTATAAAAGGAAAGGTAGTTCGTGAAGTGGATATCAAATGCGGTGGAAATTTCATCCATGAATTCTTCACCCACAAACCACACGAAATGGCCGTCATTGCCCCTGATATAATTCGCAGTTGCAATCTAGTTTTTGGTCAATGGGGTGCTTCTGGATCTGTCGTTTCCTGGCAGTTCATCCATGGTAAAACTTTTGTATGTAGTACTTAATTCCATTTCATTGGTTAGCTGAGACATCTTGAAAAGAAGTGATTGTTGTTTGAATTACTGTTTGTGTTTCAAGAGTCTCTTTGATCGAAGTTTTTGTGTATGGATTCTTACTTTTTCATCCGTTTTCTTTGTCTTTCTCACTTTCTCATACTTTTTGTCATCATTATTTGAACCTGCGAATGAAGTTTTTGGTGAGAACGTGATAGTATAAACTTCATCTACCTTCAATTACCTAATTTTATCACCAATAACCGAAACTTTGACGGTTTAATACATATGAAGGTGATTGAAAGTATGTAAAAATTTGTTAAAGTAAAAACAAATGTGAAGATTATTAAGGTTGATGAAGGTTCGTATTTTTGTGGGCTAATCGCCTATCAATTGGAAGGTAGTTGAGGGGCAACGATCATTTAGCCGTAGATTAAAAAACCAACTCATCCAAATTAAAGGCTTAAAATTAAGTGTTCTCACCTAAACTCTTAGGGCCTGTTTATCAAGTAATAGTTTACCGGTAAAATTTAATACTATTATGTACTTACCGGGTAAGATTTTAGTCCACAAAAACGACATAGTATACAATATTATACCCGGTAAGCGCTTATCATGGTAAGAGTCGTCGCTCTCACTTACCGGGTAAGACTCGTGATCCTTGTCTCGCTCTAGCCAGGTAAGATTCTTGGTATTTACTATATTCATCCGGTGAGGTAATGTTACTTGATAAACGCTTACTCGGGTAAGCGTTTGGTAAACGCCCCCTTAGTATTGCACGATCTCAAGTCTAGATATACCTTTTCCCTTGGTATTTATTGTGCAAAAGGAGCGAAAAAAGCATCGCATATGTGGTGCAACCGTCTTGCAAGCCCTTGCCAAGTTTTCTCTTATTATGAATGATCAATCAATACAATCTATAATTACATGCTAATATTTACAGTTTTTATATAAATGCAGATGGAAAAGTTGCTAGTACAAAAGAAATGATTGAAGTAGGTGACAACAAAATCGTGTTCAAGGTGATTGAAGGAGATGCATTGAAGGCGTATAATGCGTTAAGCTTCAGTATTCATGTGAAAGAGATAGGAGGGAAGCAATTCGGTGTTTGGAGTGTGGAATTCCAGAAGGTGAATGCAACCATTCCTGATCCAACTTCATATCTGGACATGCTTTGTGGTTTCACCAAAGATATGAATGCTTATGTCCTTAAGCAGACAACTGCATGATAATAATATTTAAATAATGGTAAACAAGAAGTGATTGTGTAATAAATAGTCGACCATAGATAATGCCAGCTTGTCAAGATGTATTTGTTTCAGTTAATAATAATGTGTGATTTAAGAACATCTATTAAGTAACTTCAGTTTGTTATTATAGTGCATCTTTGGGATTAGATGGGTCACCAACAAAAAAGCAAAATGAGGTGGAGACACATAGTTAACATACCCAATAATTAGGACCCAAGTGTGCAAGTATATCTATTAAAAGAAACAACTATCTTCATGTGCAAATCAAACGAGATTGCAGTGGCTGATTCAGGGCACATTTTTTTCCAAGTTTTTTTTGAAACCAAATAACTCATCCGGAATAAAGAGAACTTATTCGGTTCAATTTTCAGTTAAATTTTTTACTATTTTGGTTAAACCGATACATTTTTGGGCTATATACTCGTAATATGTCTTTTAAAAATATATTTTTCAAAAAATAAACTAAAACTACAAATTTGGTCCCTATGGTTTGCTGGAAATAAAACTCTCGGTTCTTACAGTTTTGAAGCTACACGATGGTCATCTTGATTTGTAAAAAGGTTCAAATTTAGTCCCATCCTCTAATGGTTGTTAAAAGATCTCGTTAAATGTGGGACATTTTCACCCTTTTATTGAAGTTATTGTATTTGGATTCTTACTTTTTATTCATTTTTTGTATTTCTTACATTTTCGATCTTTTTACATCCTCATTTGAACCTAACGAGAATGAAGTTTTTGGTGAGAATGTGATAATAAAACCTTCATTTACCTATTTTTATCATCATAATTGAAATTTTAACAAATAAATGCATGCGAAAGTAATTAAAAGTGAAGAAAAAGGTGAAAAAAGGTTGATGAAGTTAGATGAGTGTTTGTGTTTTTTTTGTCAACTATTAATTAACATATTCAAAAGCTCTGAAGTGTTCTTGCCAACTTTTGTCATATTATGAATGATCAATCAATACTGTCTATATTTACATGCTATTTATGGTCTTTGTATCCATGTAGATGGACAAATGAATAGTACAAAAGAAATGATCGAAGTTGATGATGAGAAAATCGTATTCGAGGTGATTGAAGGAGATGCCTTGTAGGTGTATAATGCGTTATGCTTAATGCTCATATCGAAGAGATGGGAGATGAGCAGTTGGGTGTTTCGAGCCTTGATTTCCAAAGGGTGAATGCATGTTTACCTGATCCAACTGCATTCCTAGAATTGCTTTACCAAAGATATGAATGCTCATATCCTTAAGCATGCTGCCGCATAATCATATATTCTAGTAATGATAAAAGAGAAATGATTGTGTAATAAAAAGTCGCTTATAAATAAACATGTATTCGTTTGAGGTAATAATGTGTGATTTAAGACCACTTCTACCATGTAACTTCAGTTTATCATTATACTACATCTTTGGGATTAATTACCTTCTTTAGAAATTATGTGAGAACCGGTCGATATACCATGTAAATAATGAATATAGCCTAATTTTCTTTTTTATATTATATCATCTACAATTAATGTATAGATTATTATAAAAACGTCTACATTGCATTTTTTAGTTAAAGTTTTAATAAGGGATATAAATCATAATTGGAAGGGCAAACTGCATGAAAAATCGACATACTTTAACTTAATTCCTATTTTGGGTAACGTACTTTCAAAACTTTCATTTTGGTACCTAAGATGTAAAGTTTTAAACATTTAAGTATTCGGGTAACTGATTGAAATATTAACCGGTTATCATACTGATGTGGCGAGTGATGTGGTATCCAACTCGGTATTATTTGTTGACCTAGTCAGTGACGTGGATTTTTTTTAATCTAAAATTAGTCTTTTTTTAGTCTAAAATTAGTCTTCACTGGGTTACCCGGGTACTTAAATGTTTAAAATTTTACATCTTAGGTACCAAAATGAAAGTTTTGAAAGTACATTACCCAAAATATGAATCAAGTTAAAGTACGTTACTTTTTCATGCAATTTGCCCTAATTAGAATTATTAGAGTGAGAGTAAACTCTAATTTTGGTGTTTAGTGAAATCACTGAAAGTGGCATCTGAACTTTAATAAGTTTAGAAATTTTTTATGTGGTTCTTTTTTTGTTATGAAAATGGTGCATGGTTGCTAACTTCGTTAACAATTCCCCTTAAAATGATTGAGTATTTAGTCTTTTTACCTATTTTCTTAAATATCTTTTAAAGAAAATATAATAATTATTTATATACTATTTCTTAAAATATATTTATTTTTTAAAGTTTATGTATTGTTTATTTATTATTATCATTATATATACTTTTTAATATATAAATTTAAGAAACAATATAAAATAAGAAAATATAATATACATAATTTGAGAAATAGAAATAATATATAAATTTAAAGAACTATAATTTATAATTTGAGAATATATATAAATTATATATTATATTTTTTAAAAGATATTTAAGAAAATAGGTAAAAAGACTAAAGTGTCTTTCACTTTACCGGAGATTTTTAACAGAGTTAGTGATCAGGAACCAGTTTCAAAGCAAAATAAAAACTACAAGAATGATTTCTAGACTTATCAAAATTCAAGTTCCAGTTTCAAAGATTTCACTAAACCTCAAGCACCAAAATTAGAGTTCATTTCTATAGACAATCCTGTTGAACACACAGTTCATGCTAGAGAAGAATTCTTAAAAATGAACTTAGAGATGTCGACATGGTGTTCGACAGAGCTCCAATATTACGATATTGACATCATGATTAAGAGAGATTCTTAATCAGAGTTCAAGATTGTCTCTAAGATTGATAAATTCTTGAAGAATATCAATAAATACAAATCCGAACAATTTTAGTCATGTTGATAGGATAGGAAATTACTGCTTGTGCATGTCATGTTGATTCGATTGTGATATCATGATATGGTATTGTCTTATTGGTCCACGAAACTATAATTTTTCTTTAAAAAGGACATGGAATTATAATTGGGATAAGCTTATGACGATTGTATTAAATATGAAATAATAAATTTTAGAGTAAATCTAGATTTTCGTCCATGTGGTTTGTTAATTAATTTTGATTTCCGTCTCTGTGGTTTTGAAATTGTAATTTTCGTTCTTATGGTTTGTAACTTATTGATATTTTCGTTTTTGAACTAATTTCTACCTCTAAGTACAAGAGCCTAAAACAGTAAATATTTGTAAACTACATGGACTAAAACAACAATAAATTGTAACGAAAATAACAATAAATTATAAACCATAAAAATGAACACCGCAATTTCTAGACTGTGGGGATCAAAATTGAAATTTTTAACCGACCACAGGGATGAAATTGTAACTTACTCTAAATTGTATTTTTAGACCAAATTTGTAATTTACTCTTTTTTAATTAAATTATAAAATATTATTAATGTTCGATCAAGTGATGTTCCACAAAGGTTTTCGTGGTTTCCAAATTCTTTTTTGTGGTCTCAGCTTCGACTCTCATTGTTAACTCTTTCAAAATCCTTTTGGCAACTTATTCGTGGGACCCTCTACATTGTTATTTCTTTTTTAATGTATAAATTGATTTTATAGGGGGTTTCAAACAGGGGTGTGCATGGGACGGGTTCAGATGAGAAAATCAAAAATCCGATCAAATTTTGGATATGGAAATCAAGCCCTGATATTTGGATTTCGGATTGCTTTGGGTTGATCAGGTTTCGGGTTGAGGTCGGTTGGGTTCGAGTTTAGTTATAATGCAAATATATTTATATTTATATGTATATATATATATATATATATATATATATACTTGGGATCATGTGAGATCAGCCTGTTTTCGTGAGACCCGTGAGACCACCTTCTTACACTTGAAACTTCACAGCAAAATGCTGTGAATGTGACTTTTTTTAACCTTCACAGTGTTTTTGCTGTGAAGGTTCGACTTTTTTAACCTTCACAGTGTTTTTGCTGTGAAGTTTCAAGTGTAAAAATATGGTCTCAC